ATTTTTTAAGTTTATTTGTTTTAAGAGAGAGAGAGAGAGAGAGTGTGTGTGTGTGTGTGTGGGACCTCAAGTGAGCCGGGGAGGGGCAGAGAGAGAATCCCAAGCAGGCCCCACGCTGTCAGCACAGAACCAGGCACAGGGCTTGAACCCATGATCGGTGAGGTCATGACCTGAGCAGAGATCAGGAGTCAGCCGCTTAAGCGACTGAGCCTCCCAGGTGCCTGGCCCACACCTCTGTAAAACCCCAGACGCCACAGTGGGGCCCACTCGGCCGACAATTGAAACCTTCGATGATTTTTGACTGTGATTTACGAACAATGTTGGAAGAAATTATCAGAACTTACTCTGAAGCATGTTTTAGCATCATCCTGAGGATACCAGCACGAGGGTTGTTTTCTTAAAGACATCTTTGTATTTGGCTGTGTTTATTCAAAAAGTTAAATGAGTTAACGTTTTTAAAAAAAGTTATATATGGTTGCGAGGTATCCTGAATTTGGTTAAGGGAAAAACAAATTGACAAATTAGCTCTTTTTTAAGGGAACATTGCGAAATTGCAAGAAATGGAATGCCATTCTGACTGTCATTAAGATTTTATTTGGGTGTTGACAGCTTTTTGCTAAATGTAAGATGTTCAGATCCTGTCCACTCAGCTGGAAAAAAAAAAAAAAAAAACCAACAAACCAAAAACAACTAGCTTAAAAGCTTATTCCCAATTTCCCCCTAAAAGACAGTTTGTCTCACATTGGTTCTTTCCCCCCAATACATTTTTAATATTTTATTTCCTCACACAGTTTTTAAGACCAAAAAGAATATGAAGTCATTTTAGGCATCTCAGTTCTGATGATATATTGGACCTGTGACGGTCCTTGGTTGATTACCCCCTTCCCTCCTGTTTTTAGGGGAGAGAGCGTTATTTGGGTCAGAATAAAAAAGCTAATAAACGACACCAAAGGTGGATTCGTGTCTTGAAAAGCCCGAAGCTGCAAGCAAGAGCACGAAGGGCCTTTGAGGTGCTGCCCTAAGTGCCTGCTGTCACCCCTGCTGTCACCCCCTCCGTCACCTCTGCCTGCCGCTTCTTGCCCTTCTGAGCGCCTGCCCTGCCAAGCCTGTCCTGTTGTGACAACTGTTGTTTTATAATTGTTTTATTTTATTTTTTTTTTGCTAAGTATTTGTGGAGCTCCATCATTTTGAGATTCTTGGAAGAAAGAGAGCTATGTAAATGAAAATTAAAAATAAAATTCTTGCTGGAGGGAATTGTGCATTTAATTTTTTTGATTAGGTTTGGGAAAGACTTCTTTTTCCCCCCTTACCCTGAAAATAGGAACATTCTGTTGCTCCTATCACCATTTTTGCTTCATTCCACAAGGTGTGGCAGATAATGGTGAAACACGTCCTTTATTTTCTGTTTTTCACCGTGGTAGTTGACCTAGAACTTGAACTCACGCGGTTCTGCCTATGGTGAATTACTTCTGTTTCACATTGCTCTGCCCTGCCCTCACTGAGCGCATAGATAGCTACTGCCCATAGAACACTAACCTTTTAGGGGCGCCTGGGTGGCTCGGTTGAGTGTCCGACTTCGGCTCAGGTCATGATCTCACAGTTCATGAGTTCGAGCCCTGCGTCGGGCTCTGTGCTGACAGCTCAGAGCCTGGAGCCTGTTTCGGATTCTGTGTCTCCCTCTCTCTCTGCCCCCTCCCTGCTCATGCTCTGTCTCTCTCTGTCTCAAAAATAAATAAACATTAAAAAAAAAAAGAACATGAACCTTTTAAAGGGGAAAGATTTTGAGTCACCAACATGCAGAAATTACAACTAAAATTATAAGAAGACCTACGGATCAATTTCCACCTTCCCGTCTTGTTCACACGGCAGAGATGTTCTAAGTTGTATGATTTTGAAAGTGAAAACTGACTTTAGGAGCATTCGTGGAAGCATTAATTTACTGGAATGACTTCATTTCAGCTGTGCCTCGGTTTCTTGCTTACATAATCCCATGTGCTGTCACAGCGATCAGCCAAGTGGGGGACAAAGTCAGGTCTGGAGTCCATAGGCTTCTGTTCCGTAGGCATGTGTGGGACCCAGGAGCCAGATGGGAAGCCCAGGCTGCTGCAAGGCGCCCATCCAGGTGACTTGGTCCGCCATGGACCTCACAGTTGCAGGTGAGCCTAAGGGGCTGGTGAGTGCCAACAGCCTGGTACTAGGCAGTCAGGAAGTCATTACCTGGAGTGGGTCATCCCGGGGGACCCCTCAGTCATCTCTCTTCTCCCCACTTCTCAAATTTGTCACCATTGGCATGGAATTGAGAGAGGGAGGGTGTTGCCAGTTGTGGCTAAAAGGTCATTGTCAGGGGAGTGAGAAATCGTTGCTGATTGTTTTACTTTGTGTTGGTGTGCAATTATGCTGCCATTTTACACCGCAAGGATGTTTTAATGAATCTCTTGTGCGTGTGTTTGCAGTTAGTGTTGGGGGCTGCTTGTTGTATATGAGAGCCAGATCTTTCTAGCACATGAGGACCGAATATGTAGCTTTTACTTGTTTCAAAAGTGTTCAAAACAGGTCGCAACCCATCATAGATGTGGCTGCCAGATTAATCTTCCCAAATCATTGATCCCGTCATGCTGTTCTCTGTCCTGTAGTGGCTCACTTGGGTGTAGAATGGAGACCACTTTCCTTCGGCAGACAGCGTCCCTGATGGTTGGTCCTACCTTACCTAAACCTTTTGCCCCACTTAGAAGGATCCCAGATTCATGCTGAATTTGGGAGAACGCTCTCGTCCTCCCTGTGCACATCTGAGCATCAAACCTTATTTCACGCACTCCTTTTTTCCTTCCTTTTAACAGCCGTGGGAGCCCCGTGCACCAGGCGCTGGTGATGCAGGGTGGGATTCCAGCACTTCCCATCCTGGGGGAGCGGGCCGCTGGCATTGGCTGTGACGGAGCTGTGTGCTATGAGTTGGTGGAGGGCTGTAGAGGAAGGGAGTCCAAACTGGGGACCCCCCCACCCCACCCCTCGCCACTGCCAGCAGAACAGTTGGAGGGTGGCCGGTGGTCTCTAAGGTCTGCCTCCCTCTTTGGTGTTTCTGATGGACCCCACGTAGCATCCGCCATAGCTTCCGGCTCTCCTTAACCATTCAGGCTCCTGTTCTCCACCTTGTGTTGTTATGCACCTGTTTCATCCTGCCCTGTGGCTGTAGCCTCCAGTAAGTCCTGCTGCAGGAGAGCCATTGGCCTTTTTCAAGGGGGCAGCCCCATATGTTCGGATTTAAGACTAGTTCAGCTAGTTCATTTAAGAAAGCAAACGGGATTCGTTTTTGGATTGTGCAAAGTAGGTAGGTATAGAAAATGGTTGTGTTTTGAAAGCTACTGATAGCCATATACGTAATCGCGACAGAACATGGATTTCTTGTTTATTTCCATTTATTCCGTCTTTGCGAAGTGACGTGTACATTGGTTAAAGTATATGTAATTGTATTTGTGGTACATAAAACATAAAAAAAAAATCCACATTTTTAAAAATAGAATTAGGCAGAACAATCCTCTGACAGAGATTTATTCTTTGACTCTGCCCAGGGCCTGAATGGGAGGAAACTTCCCCCTGTGAATGGGGAAAGTGCGCACTGTAATGATTAGAACCCAACCCGTGCACAAGAAGGCAAGCAGCAGGAGGCCCGAAGGTCCGGGTGTCAGCACTGGAGAAGGGTCGAGAATGTGCGCAGCCCCTGGAAGCCGCCCCGTGGGCCTGGCGTGCAGCTGGGCAGAGGCCTCAGACCAGCCCCGGGCGGAGCAGTGGCCTCGGTAGCCTGCCTGCCTTTCTGTGTTTCTTCATTTACAAAGAAAGTACCTAGGATATTTTTGTGAAGGTGACGTCACTGTCTGGCTGCAGAAGCATTTGCATGGGTTTGGGGGAAGCAAGGCTTGCCAGGGGCATCTGAGGAGCCACAGACCCCAGGGCCCAGCCTGGGTGGGGGGCGGTGTCCACAGGGACGGGGAGGAGGGAGAGGAGCCACCCCTGCCAAGGGCAGAGGGTGTGTTCCCTGCGGGGTCTGTGGGATTTGGGAGGTCCGGTGGGAGTTCAGGGGCTGAGCCCTGGGAAGGAGGAGGGCGGAGCTC